ATTTGACTATCAAAAAATCCTTAAAGCACTACTTAAAGGAAAAGAAAAAAAGTTATCAAGGTCCTAATCTAAAAACTTACCTCAGGTCAATTATTATTCGCTTACACAAATTATCCATTTTTTTATAGAATAGAAAAGATCAATAAATTTTTGTAGACAAACATTAAAAATCAATCACACATGCAGTAATCAAAAAATATAATGGAAAAATCTTGTTATCCTATATTTTTTGTTTGATTTCAAAGTATTTAAAACAACATTTAACAAAAATGAAACAAAAAAAAAAGTGAAATATTTAAGTGCTTATAGTGATTTTTCTTATATAAGTAGTTTTCCCATTGAGCCATTTTATAAATGATTGTATATGTTCTTGTGTCTCAAGCTTATAGAGCGACACACGTTGTGTGCACATACAAATAAAATAAAGAACTTTTAAATTCATTTTCTATGACTTGTTTGTATATACCGTAAATATACATCTATATAAAAATTTTCTTATGATTTATCATAGTACTAGAGATTTTATATTGCCTTCAACTTCTAAATTGATAGCCTTCAAGAAGCATAAGATATGATGCATTTGTTGCTAAACATTTTTCTCTTTTGTTCTTTGTTTTTATAATTTGCGATTCTAAACAGTCTCTTCTAAAATTAATGGTAGGCATCATTCGCATTATGCTTTGAATTGCTATATACAGGAGGTTATTAGATATTATTATGAGTTTCAAGTTTTCATAATGGAGGCTCCATTTTAACAAGAAAAATTTTATATTAAAAACATCAAATATTTAACAGATACCACCAAAAACGTGACTATGCTTTGATATCTGAAATGAAACCCTCATTTAGTTGCGGATTATTTTTCATCTCATTGTCGTTCATAGGCGAATATTAAATGTATTGTTCGTAAAGTCATGTTAACATTGTGTACAGTTTACTGTGGTAGGCGCTCTAGATTATTAGAAATGGAATTAATAAAATGGTTGGAAAATCGTGTATTGTAACAAATATTCACTATAAAGAGTTGGCAATTTTATATTGTTACAAAAATTTAAAAAATTCTTTTGAAGTTGAGCCAACATGAAAATTGAGCAAAATAGAAGGAGAACTCTTCTATTTTCAAAATCGAAGCAATCACTTTTCTTAAACGAACTCTTCAAACTCTTGTAACACCAAAATCTTGACTACAATATGTTAACAATGGTTCAGTGAACATTCAACACGGTTCATTATGAATTTTCGAAAAATTACAGCTATCAAAAATAGATCTAATCGCTGCAAAAAGAGTTCAAAATTTATATTCCGCTACGGTATATACTCGTAATGTACGGTATATATCAACATGTCTGACGCAGAAATATACATATATAAATCTAAATATGTAATTTCTTTTAATATATTGCCATAAAGAGAAAGAGATAGCAAATTGTGCGCATATTACACTGCTGCAGAAAAATGTAATGTAAATATTAAAAACAAAAAAAAAAACTGTCCCGACCATGTTTTACGTTCTACGTGCCGAATACAAGTATTTACTAACTGAAAATTCTACGTCATTCTACTGAGTATTCTCATATATTAAATTCACTACGTTATACAATGTAGTTACGTGGCTTTTTTATGTTTTTTTTTCCTACATTGTTGTGCAGATAAATGTTATAATAATTTTGAAACTCCATTTTGATGAATATAACCGTTTAGTAAGATGAATAATGGATTTCAGGTGAGACTAAAGTATAAAAATGTTATCATTTGAGCATTTAAAATAATAGAAAACGTAAAATTGTGAATACCTACACAGAAAATTCCAAATATTTTGCTGACAAAGTATATTATGAAGTACAAGAGTATTAAGCATATTTCATTAATTAAATTTTATAGGATTTATTATGTGATGGTGTTTTAATTTTCTGATAAGTCGTGATATTTGTGCTTAAGTCAAAATTATTTCAATGATTTGCGATTTTTCCACTGTATATTCGTGCAATACTATTGTGAATTTATTTAATTTTGACTTGCAAAAGTTGTACTGTAGTTTGAAATTGATATAAGATGTATTTATTTGTGTGATCCAAAGTTCACGTTTTTTATGGGAGAATGATGAAAAAGCAGCATTGCTGTGAGTGTATAGATTAATATTTTTAAAACAATTGCAATAAAATCGTGTTAATCGTTTGAAAGCTTGTTTAATTTAACAGTATAAATATTCGGTGCATTAAAACATAAATATAGATGTCGCTATTGTCTCAAATATTAATTATATCATTGTGAATGAAAACTCACTAATTTTTTTTTTGCAATATAACAATGCTATTAGAAGAGTATTTGCGTTTATGCGAATTGTAATTGTCCAGTTGAAAGTGTTTGAAAAAATTTTAAAAATTATAAAACAACAGAAATTTTTTACTTCTTTAACCTGGTTTTGCATTTAGGCGGATTGCAATTATGTGCGGGTTCGACTGTATTCATATTTAGTTCGTGTCTGAGCAAATACATTAGAAATAAGAACGACCACTGTTTTCAAAAATAAAAACATAATTGTAAATAATTGTATTTTTCATTAATGATGAGAAATTTATAATAAAATTAAAGACATTTTTCTTTAAAGTCTATGTATAGAGAACATTTCATTTTCGATTTCAAAATAAAATACGTACGTACACTTGAAATTCGGTTCTTATATTGTCATAAACGCACCCATTAACAAAAATTTATTATTTTTCTGTCTTATATTATAGTGTAACGCGTAATATATCAGAATGTCATTAAAAAAAAAAAAACTTTCTAGAAAAACACCATAACCTTAACACGTTATCAAAATAAATATATAAGGATTTTGTTATTTAGAAATAACAGTAATATTATAAGAAAAAAAATACATAAATTTTCGCGATTATTATTATACCAACCAACTCGTATAACATAATATCAAGGATATATCGGTAATAAAAATTTTTATTTATTTCCATTATTATTTATGTTAAACAAATTTTTGAGGTAAGAATAGAAGATGATTTAGATTCTATTTTATATTATGGTATATAAATAAATATTTGTACACATAGCTTACCCTATCTAAAGTTAAAGGAGACGAAAGCGAGGCATGTGAGCTGGCATGAGTGAAATCAACGAAATAACAAAATAAAATTTACTACGTTCAATTTTTATAACCGCGACTTATTTTTTATTTTAGAATATTTTTTGCAATGTGAGAATCGCGTTTTACCCATGCCACCCATACCTAAGATTCTATTGCTATTAAAATGCACTTATGTATATATATCAAAATTTTCTACTATAATAACCGTACACATGTATAACAAATAAGAAATATTACCTTTAATATTGTTTTTCTTTTATTACTTTCTAAAAAAAAAAAAGAACAACTCGAAAATAAAGGTGCAAAAACAACAACTTGAAAATAGAAAAAAATCCTTGGATTTTATTTGAATGTTTTTTTTATTGCTTTTTTATTACAAAATAACGAACTTATAAGATGTGAAATTTATCATAAGGACTACAAAATATCAATAAGGAAAAAGCGGGGCACACAAAATTGTTAAAAATAAGAATAATTCAAATTTAAATTATTCGATTTGACTCATCGTTGGTTTCTCACAGATATTTCGCGAAGAAACAAAAAAAAAACAAATTCTACAATAAAAAAAAAGGTTGGGGAAATTAAGGCCAAGATTTTTGCTCAAGATTTTTTTTATTTTAAATTAAATGTAAACACGATTATGTAATGGCCCTTTATTTAATATGAAAATTTTAAGAAAAAATGTGTAATTATCATTTGATTGTTCATTTCTTAATGGTTCAACTTAAATCTATGAAATTTTTTAATTTGAATGATTTATGTTTCGATCTTAAACTTCAATAGATTCACAAACACCGCTCTTTATAAACAATGTAGCGGTCTACAACTAAAATAATAATTAAGTTTATCGTACTATTCTCGTAGCATCCCTACGACTGCCGCTACTTATTATGAACTTTTCATTACAAAAATTCAATTCTTTTGCTTTAATTTTCTCATTAATATCGCAACAATGATATGTATATGACACTAATTGTAAAATAAATAATGTAGTATACCCTAATTACATAATTAACCCCTTAGTGTAACTCAATTATAACAAAAATTAAATAAATGTGTAAATATTTATTAAATGAAGGCTTATTCATAAAATAATAAATTAAGCATAACACAAGTAAACTGTGAAACGGTTTAACAAAAAATAATTCGGCCTTCAGATTTAAGGTAAATTTATGAAAGTGATGGTGTTTTAATAACCTACAATACTACCATAAACAATAACAAATTTAATTTATGTTTAATCTCGAAAATTTATCAAATAATTATTATTATTTGCAAGCCAGCAGTATATGAATTTAATTTTATGGCAGCACAAGTCGAATTATCGCGGTAGGTACAGCATATGTTGTTCAAATTCATATAGTTTTGCTCTAAATTTTTAACTCTATTGTAGTTTTTTGAAACAGTCGTATGGCTCGTCTTCAGAAAATAAATATTTTTTAAAAAAAATTGTTAAATTGAAATAAATGAATAATAAAAAACATTACTTTTTCATATTTATTAAAAATAACTACAAACTGGTGAGAATTAAGCATACGAAACGTGGTGGCCGATAAGGGTTAATTTTTACTTAATGAAAAACAATGAATTAACAAAAATTATTTTCTGAGAAAAGTGGGTTTTTAAAGACCCTCTAAAAATAAAAAATCTGCATTTTATAATTAATTTTTGCATATTTTGGACCCTATGACTCGCTGCTCAGGAAAAATGTAGTATTGTCACTTTTGACATATCGTAATTTAAAGAAATTTAAAGATTTTTAGCTTGTTTTTTGGGCACATTCATTGTTCTTTAATATTTGGAAGCGATATTTGTTATTGTTAACGGTGAACAACAAATATAAAATGTTTCAAATTTAAATAAAATAAAATAAAAATAATAAAATTTTTTATATACTTACATCGAAAAATAGTGGAATATCATCCCCATGAATTATGATATTATTATCAAGTAAAGTATCGTCATCACCCGAAAAAATATCTAAATCATCAGACTAAATAATAAAAAAAAAATTAAACAAAAAAAAAGTCAAATTAAATAAATACAAAATTAAAATAAAAAATAAAATTATAAAAAAAAATTATATTAAAAAATTTTAATTCAAAACAACAAAAAATAGAAAAATTCTTAAAAATAAAAATAATTTAATAAAAAAAAAAATTCCTACTTAAAGCTAACAAAAAAATTCTTCAACTTGAAAATTCAACCAAAAGGAAAAATTTACAAAATATTCAAAATTTAGTTCAAGAAATTTTTTTTTTTAAGTTATTTTCATCTATTGCGAGTTATTTTTTTCGCTTTTTAAAGTTTTTCACGTTTTCTCCTTTGTTATTTTCCAAATTTGTGCAAAAAAATATTTAAATTCAATGAAAATATTTTTATGCATATTTTCGTCTATGTATATATACATATAAAATAATTGAATTGCAGTTATTCCACATATTTTGGGAGAATTATAAGAATAGCTTTGACTTTGGAACTGAATTGAATTTTATATAAGTATTTGAGCTCTGTAATTGATGAAATTCCTACTTTGCAACCTGAAATCGATGTAAACTATATTAGCTAGTAGCAACTAGAGTTGCTGGAGTTTTTAGGCTTATAAATAATAGACTCCCATAAACAAGTTAAAAAGATCTCTATTCTTTACCATATTTCACTTAGCTATAATGTAAGCTATTCATATTTGGGGGTAACGTATGAAATAAAAATATCAAATTAATTCAAACGGCCAAATGTAAGGCAATTAAGAATTTATTTGAATATAAAATCAAGACGGCCACACTGGAAATTCATATTATAGCAACAAATTTATTAATCAATTGTAGGTTAGTAATTTAACCGCATTCAATGTATATTAATTATAAAAGCTTAAATGTGGAGTTCTACTTAAACAGTGAGCCACATTAATACCGAGCGAAAAACGGTAATAAAATACATATAAAATAGTCAAAAGTGAGACTCAACTATCAAAATGCTGTAGATTTACAAAAAAACTTTCATCATCTAACATGACACATCAGTGGCTTGATGTCAAGCGACTATGTGATATAAGCAAATTTGAAAACAAAATCAACGAGTACCTTTTGAGTTTTATTTGAATATAATTTCATGATCGTAAATATTTATTGTATAAGACTTTTAGTATCTGGCCTTTTTCTGTACTTTAATTTTTAGTTTCACTTTTTTAATTCTTTTGTTGTAATTCGACTACCTATTATACGAGTAATTGTTAGTTCTTCTTATCATTCTGAATGAGATTGTTATTACCGGCCGCATTACATAAAATTAGGGAGATTATATGTTGGCATCAAATTTCGGATGTCTTGTTTTCGATAGGAACGCACTTACTTCTCTATTGTAGGACAGCACCAATTTACTAGGAGTACCATACTTTCACTTTTATGAAAATTTTCGAATATAAAAACTAAAAGGTAGAAAAAATGTTGTATAAAAAGTTGTAAAACATTTCGTAAAAGTTTTTTCTTTTTTTTTGTCAGTAATCCTTAAATTGGTCATGTTTTGTCAACATTTCGTTTTCACCATTTACAACCACGTATTGTAAATGGAAGTTTTCTGAATTTCTGTTTTTTTTTTTTTGTTATTAACCAAGAAATGAGAAAAAAAATGGAATTTTTCGGAAATTTATCCAAAGTAATTTTATTTGAAAAGTTAAAGGTTAATAATTTTTTTTTTCAATACATGCTTTTTATGTTCATTTCGATTACTTTAATATTTTATTATAAATGTCAATTCAATAATAAAATAAACAAAAAAAATAATAGTTAGTATTTTATAGAAGAACTGTTATAGCGGTTAATATTATCATAAAGGTTTAACACATCTATTGCATGAAGATGAAGTTTGAAGAATTTAATGCTCGAATAGTTGGAAGAAGTATGAAGAGTACAGAATTCGAATGTAAAATATATGAATGTTTGAAAATTCATAACATTCCTCAAGCAATTCGCTTTAATTCATAACAATCCTCAAGCTATTCGCTTTTAGAGCGAATAGAATATTATTTGAAAAGAACATCTAATGATACCGTATTACCGGAATTGCCAATATTAGATCGAAATTGTATTTTTATTGTATATGTGACCTTCAAATACGACACACTGTGATCCGAGCGAATTTACTGTCAGCCCAACCGACATACCGCTCAAAGCCTTTCATCTAAAGTACCCGCCCGTGACTCGTATCCGAAATAAATTCGTATGTATATTGCAAGAATAAAATAGTGTCAACTCAATCGTATATTTAAAACTGTAACATCTGAGATACGTTCTTCTTCTGTTGAAAAATATTTCGCATTCTTTTTAATTTCAGGTTTCCTCCGTTTTCGCTCCTCCGCGATTTTCTTTTCAAATGTCTCCTCAAACTAAAATTATAAATGTAAAAACTTTTCTAACGCAATAAAATTTTATTCGCATAAAATATTGAAATTTATAGAAAATTTTGTAAATAAAATTAAATTTCTGAGAATAAGCATCCCCTCCTCTCTCTTTTACTCCGCAAATTCTTTTTCATTCTATATAGCATTTATTTACATTTTATTAAATTTAAAATTTTTATATTGGAAAATTTAAAATGTAAATAAAACTGGAAAATTTTTTTCCCTATAAGGAAAACATATTTGTTAATAATATAATAAAAAAACCTACGTATAGTACAAGAAAAATTCAATTGAATTCGAAACTCTTAAGAGTGTACAAGGTATGCCATAAGCTTAATACGATTACAGTGAAAAAAATTTTTTTACTCAATGAAAAATTCAACTTATTTTTTAAATTTAAATAAAAATTTTCTTCACAAGAATTTTCAGGTTTTCCTCAGATTCAAAAATATTATTATGACAAATTTAATACAATTTGTCTCATCTTCATTTCAAATACATTTCTGGTGTCATTTTAATTTTCAAAACAAAAATGAAAACAAAAAAAAAAAAACATAAAAAGAAATTAACAAATAAATTAATGTGAAAAACAAAAAAAAAGAATTTTCCGCTTAAAATCTCCGAGGAAAAAGGAATAATTCATCAAACAGAAAGAAAAATCAAAATATTTGCGTGCATCTACAAAAAAAAAAAATAATTTTTTTTTTCTTTCAAATTTTTCCATCATTCTCAAATAAATACACACATACATACATATTCATTTCATCCAACTTTCTATCCTTGAATTCAATTTAAAATGATTTATTTCCAAGTATTGTATTCAACTTAATATATGCTTTTAACATACCTATAGGCGTATACTGAAACGTGTACTTTGTATTATCTATATCAGTGTATATCAGTGTGTGTATTGTATATAAATAAATGGTAATCAATCATGACTACAGATTTTTATATACATATGTATACAAAAAAAAAAAATATCTCCAATATTAGGCATTTTAGAATTTGTATACGATAACCTTGATGATCATAAAAGTGTGTCAAAGAAAATTGATTAGCATTCTTTTTGATTCTTTTATACATACATACTAATACAAAAGACAAGATTATTTTTTTTATAAATAAAAAACAAAATTCACTTAATATTTCTAATATAATGAATATGAATTTTCACTCAATTCTCTGATCGTCCTTCTCAATTTATTTATTCTTTATTAATAAACTTTATTATTTATTTATTTTTATAGTCGTAATTTATATACGATAATTATAAAGAGAAAGAGAGAGTAAATTAATACATTTGAAATTAATGATTTCCATTTGATATTTTCTTACGAGTATTAACAATTTTATGATAATCACAAAAAAAAAATCTGATGTGGTCAGCACATAACCGACCGCATTGTGTATTGTCTAGTTAAATGAAAGTGTTACAGAATATTATAAAAATGTCTGTTAAATACTACTTTCCAATTTTTAGGACATTAGTAAGCTTATAGTTAACATACTTAGAAAAATGTAAATTTGGCTCTTAGTAGAGTTTTGCTTTGTGCTACCCGAATTCCCTGAAATGCTCGCCAGTTAGTTTCGGTAACAACCAGAACTCAAATATCAAATTTCAAGAAATTCCATAAATTTGTTCTGTGGATATGGTGAAAAATGTAAAATCGGCCCGCAAATCAGTTCTCGAGCCCTGATCTTTCCAAAAAAGTTATATGTTCATTGGTTTAATATGAGGAATTCATATATTAAATTTCAATGAAATCGGTTGATTATTTCTCTTTATATACACAAAAGTGTATGTTTGGCCCGTAGTAAACGTCTAGTTGCCGATGCCTGATCTTTCCAAAAAATTTACATGTTCATTGTTTTAATACGAGGAATTCATGTATTAAATTTCAATGAAATCGGTTGATTATTTCTCTTTATATACACAAAAATGTATATTTGGCCCGTAGTAAACGCCCAGTTGCTGATGCCTGATTTCTTCCAAAAGTTAGGAATTTTTGCGTATGATCGAGCAAAGCTTATATATGAAATTTCGAGTAAATCGGTTGAATACTTTCTTCAAAATGGTGAGAAATGTAAAATCGGTCCGCTAAAAAGTGCAGTTCCCGAGGCCTGATATATACCAAAAGTTGATCGATCCGTGCCATGGTGGAAACAAACTTACATATAAAATTTCATCAAAATCGGTTCAGCCGAACTGGAGATACACGCGTGCACACACAGACCGACAGACCGACAGACCGACAGACCGACAGGTTGCTAAAAATAGTTTATTTACACTTCCCTACTATGGAGAAGTACGTTTCCACCGAAAACTCGATATGCAAAATTTGTTGCCATCACATAACCTACCTATTGTTTACACAATACGGTCGGTAAAAATTAGGAAGCATTCAATTGGAATAAGTGATATAATTATATGGTATAATAATTTTATCACACCATGTAATATTATTTTTAGTATAATTTAAAAGAAATTAAAGAATTAATATTTTTGATTTAAAATTCATATATTTTAAGCAAAAATATCATAAAACTTTTTGGAATCTTATTGAATCAATAACACATTGATAACAATGCGA